CTAGAAAGTAGTAAACATATTTTTAGTCTCAAAATTGTAGTGCATTTTGAATATTACATGATTACATTAAGCTAATGAAATCTGAAAAACGTTATCAAAGAGTAATATGATTTTCGAGTTACCGGAAATTATACCAATTTGTTAGGAAAAAGTCGATGCAAGATTTGCAATTATAAATCCTTAGACCGTTAGATATATGTCTAACACACCTACTATTTAAATAGCCATTGGTTTTTATCGGTCACATTTAAACAGTTTATCAAAAAGTAATCATCCAGTTATCTGTATCTTTTTTTTTCTTCGTCCCACTCCACCCAATCCCCAAATTAATTCGAATATCTCCGCAGTAAGTTAGCAAACGTAAAGTGTGTGGGCAGCCATAGTGACGTACTCTCGAAAAACTGGTCACTCCTATTAGTTACTAGACAATCGCTCACATAACCACGGAAGAAGTGTAGTCGGCACGAACTGGTCCAATGCTGTAGCAAAAATATTCACGTTGTATGTTTTTTTAAAATTTTTTGTACTAAAACTATACAAAACCCTCCACCACCAAAACCCAAAAGAAGCATACTGACTCGATAGGGACTCCCTTACGCAGTTAATTATAATTAATAATTACTTACTTCATGCTATGAAGGACGAAACCTACAGTGTTTCTTTGTGGTGTGTTAGAAAATATGATCCACAGATTGTGTGTGTAAATATAAGGCAATACCTACTGCTTGCCCCAAAAATATATCTGACAGTGCAAAATTTAGTTCAAAATTTTGGAGCAGTGGTTTGAAAAGAGCACTGAATTGGTGTTATGTAGGTACACGAAAAGTTTATAGAGGATTTGAGCTTCTACAACACTGTATATCCACGTGGCGTCTCCAGAATTGTAAACATTTATTTGATGAAAAAATTTATTTTTAACTCCAGTTAAAAAAAATTGAAATCTGAGACAATTTTTAACTCATTCAAAGCTTAACAATGAATCTTGGGAGCTTAGAGAATATTTTAATAGGCCCAGTGTCGGATTGAGGACATAGGGGTCCACCAGGAAATTTTCACATTGGTGTTTTGAAAAAATGATGTTGTTTTTGGAATTTTGATAACGCCACCAAGAAAAACAAAGCTGGTAAAAAAATTGTGGAAAGTTATTTTGACAGAACTTCCCTCGCCATTGACGCATAGTTTGACGCATTGTGATAACTGTTCACCTCGATAAAGTGGCGTAATTAACATCTCCGCAGCCCCTGCATCTGTAAATGTGAAATATGTTAAAATTAGATAACAGAAAAAATGTAGACATTTTCAATTTATCAGTATATGCTTAACTTCGACTGTTTATGTTTATACTTCGACCGAATTCGACTATTAGCACGTTCAGATTACAAGCATCACCGGTTAACAGAAAATGAAAGTTGGTTGATTTCGTGTCCTCAACGCAAAGGAAAGTACTAATTGATTAACTAATACCCAATTTTTCCCCAAAACACTAAAAAATATGAAGAAATTCGGCAAAAATGTAAGACGACGGATAAATTTTAATTAAGGATTTACCATGTTTCAAGTAATCTTAAAATATTTGCATGATTTCACAGGATTCGGTTTTTGCAATTTCAAAGTTAAATTGTAAAATATTGTTATACAGTGTTGACTTTTTTTCGAAAAATCTGGATGCAAAAGGTAAAAATTCAACACGGATGCATAAATCACACTTGTCGGAATATGTTATTTTATAAAATTTATAAAAGATTTGTTCCGCAGAATTCTAAAATCACGTCATAATTTTTTGCAAAGGCTTTAAACGAACATTTTTTTTCCTTTCCTTCCTTACAACCTTAAAACGTTTACAATATTTCAATGCATTCGCTTTCGCAATTTTAAAGTTAAATTGTAAAATACAATTTTGCATTTTCTTTAAAAAACTCGATGTCAAGGGTAAAGACTCAACAGGGATTAAACTGCAAATGTCATGCATAACCTCATTTGTAGTTCAAAAATTCGATTTTTTGACATTTACATTTTAATCAAAGATATGAGAAATATTTCCATGGCCAACTCTAATCTGAAAACTTTTTGATCACCCGTTACATAAAATGGGTAAGTTGTATAAAATTTAAGAAACATTGTTATGCAAAAGTATAAAATGACATTTCTTTAGGGCATAAACGAAAAAATTTTGATTAACAATTTACTTAAAAAGCTTACACATTTTCAGAGTATTCGATTTTACAATTTCAGAGTTAAATTGTAAAATATTGTTGTACAATTTTTATTTTTTTCCCCCAAAAATCTGGATGTCTAGGGTGAAAACTTGACACGGATTCATGAATCACACATGTAGGAATATCCTATAGAATTAAATATATACAATACCATAAAAAGGGGCAATTTAGTAGTAAGTAAAATGGCATGTTTCACCTCACATTTCGTTTTCTAATGTAATATAAGGTGCACTATCATTTTTTTTTTAAGAAAACAGGCCAATTTGGACGTTAAAGTGTTTTTTTGTAAAAATCTCAAAGTGAGTGGTTTTTATACATATATGTAAAAAATGCATCAAAAACTGTAAGACAAAAATTGACTTTTTTATTTTATAAAAAAGAAATAAAAAAACTTCAACGTCAAAATTGGTGGCTGTTTGTTTAAAAAAATGATACAGTGTGTACCTTAAAATAGATGAAAAAACATGTAAAATATAGCTTAAATAGATGAATAAAAAAATGTAGGGTGCAACACACCATTTTACTTTCTAGTGATTTCAGTTTAGAAATTCATCTAAAACGTCCGATAATAATCCAATCAGATGAGAATTGGATTTGAAATAACAAACAATGCTTTTGGAACCACAAAAATGTATGATTGTTTTAGAGGGGCATAAACAAAAAAATCTGATTAACGATTTACCATGCTTACGAAAACCTCAAAAACGTTTGCAAAATTTCAATTTTGCAGTTTCAAAGTTAAATTGCAAGATGTTCAACAGGGGTTCATAAACCACATGTGAAAGAGTATCTTATTTTATAAAATTTAAATAGTATTTACTACTGTAAATTTTGGAGATGACGTCAACAAATTGTTGGTAGGGATGATTAGCCAAAATTTGATTAGCGTTTTATCATATACAGGATACTCGTAATAAACATGTAAAATTTTAGATGACAAACAGACAGACCGACAAACGGAAACTGGAGACCTATTGTTTCGTACTGAAGGTAAAGAGCTGCTCTTATTTAATATTTATATACTCGGTGTTATTGAAAGGTACGTACAACAAAATTGACAGTTCTTCGCGAAGTCTAAGAAGTCTAAACAAACTTATTTTGTGTTATCAAAATTATAAGGGGAAAATTAGCCCTAATCCAACCTTTTAAGACGCTAGTGAAGGATAAATAGGTAAAATTAATTTATTTTAGTAAATCCTAGCAGCTGCAACAATAAAACTTTTAATGTCAAGACTAAATGTTGCTATAGAAACGAGAGAACACTTTTACCTCAACTTTTTTTAACTTTTAGCACCCATACTTCGAGACCAATTGCCGATTTTATTTTGTACGCACCTTTCAATAACACGCTGTATATAGTTTTTTATGCGTCTATGACATTTTTACGAATATGTTATTAACTTTCTAGAGGGCGAATAAACAAATTTTAATCATTGTACTGCAGTAGGTAAATCCATATTAGTCTCTAGCTACAATTTCCGAAAAGTTTGATTCGTACTGCAAAATCTGCTTTCAAAATTTTATTTATGATTTTATATATAATATTTGACTATTTTTAAAGCATGGCGGGTCCATTTAGAAAATCTCAAACAAATAATTGTTATCTCAACAACACCAAAAATTTCACCCCATTATCGATCCATTTCAAAAACTATGCTGTCATCATTAAAAACCATTTAATTTAGTTGGGTTAACAGTTAATGTTTAAATTTTTCGGTGATGTATGGATAATAACGTGTTTAAGCTAATTTAACTTTATTTTTATAGTACCTATTTATTATATAAAATATTTAAAGTAAGTCATTTCATGAAGGTAAACTAGGTAAGGTATACAAAATACAGATATCTGGTTTGTTTACCATATTATATTTTAAGTAATTTCCAGGAATTCTACATGACTTGTCCTCTACGGCATTTTACATATTGAATAATACAATAACAATTTCGTACTTTTTTACAAAAACGTGTAGGTGTTGAGCAGAATATTACTCATACGAGATACCATATGTATTGCAAAAGTTAGAATGGGACAATGGGGGTCAGTATTTTTTTGCTCAAAGAAATTACGTATCCAGAATAAATTCCGATTTACGACTTATTATTGAGCCTATAATAGCACATATTTAAAGGCAACAACTGTATAGAAATGAAGTGAAGTACAATGTTTGAAACGATGCTTCCAATGCAGTGTAATGTGTGTTGCATACTTGCTTTTGAGTAAATTCCGTAAAAAATATATTTTTATAAGAACAAACGACTTTAATACAAAAGTTTGTTCCCTGAAAGTTAGTGTAACAGTTAATTAATTATTCTTGTAGTTGTGAGCAATCCGTTTATGCATTTTATTACATTCGATAAAAAAATATATCAGTTACCTATATGCTTACACGTACAGAATTTTTTACAACAATAAATTTTAAATCATAATAATATAATGATCGAGAAAACATCGTCTGCGGCATTAAGATTGTTGGACAAATGGATTACCTCTCACTCTTTACAATTTCTTTTTTTTTTTGTTGTAACTTTATTTATAAGTGGTAAGATCCTAAGATCCTTCTTGAACATTTTGTGGAATTTCGCTATAGTCACGATTTTATTTTTCTACAAATACCCCTTTAGGTACGAAAGTGTTTTTTTTGACTTGTATGAATCTAATGTTTTCGCCATGTAATCATTTAATTTTGTCTTCCAAGCGAATCGACGTCGTTATCAAAGAAATAATCCTCCTCCAGCCGCCTATATCGTTTTATTTCCTTAGTCATACTCCAGCCTGTCCTCTAGATAGTTATAACCCGTCCGCAGTAAGTTAGCAAACGTGAAAGTGTGTGAGCAGCCGTAGAGTGACGTCTTCTCCGTAGGCTCGTCACTGTTATTACTCGAGATCGCTAACGTGACCATGGAGGATGTTAACGACGCGAACCAGTCCGATTCCTAGCTAGTTCCGCGCCGCACGTGTGCTTAAAAACGCTACTTTTCCTCCGAAATTACCCAAACCCTCCACCGCGAAGCCGCAAATAGAGCATGGTGACTCCATGGTGACTCCTCCGTTACGTAATTAAATTAGTGATGTGGTGTCGCGCCACCGAAATTGCCGCTCAGTTGGGTGCCGACAGCGTTTCTTTGCCGTCTGCTGGGTCGATGGTCCAAGGCCGGTGGTAGAGAAGCTGCCCTGTCCATCTGCGGCAGTTCTTTCTTACCTGTGCACGCGATGGTGGCGACCCAACTCTCACTCTCCCATCAGTCCCATCGCAAACTCTAGTGTCGAGTAACTCCTAGTGGTGACCGTGCAAATGCTCATAACGCAGTGATAACACGTAAGTAAGTACTATTACTCGACGTCGCCGGCGTCCCGACGCAGTCGCGCAACCCTGTTTATGCACCACGTCCCGGCTATACAGTTAGGAGAACAATGCACTTGGGTGCATTCGGCCCGTTAGGTAGTCGTAAAAATGCACCTTTTAATTACTGCAGAACGGTTGCACCGCTGAGGTACCTCTCGAGCTGAATTTTAAATGTCAGTCGTGTCGGTCGAAGAGCAGTGAATGTGTTTGCATTGCTAAATCAGATGAATGATCCGCCAAGGTTACCTGATTTAAGACCCCTTGAATTAGTTTGGTACGGTTTTTAAAAGTGAGCTTTGTTGGCCGGTTGTGGTAGTTTGATATTATTTGCATTTCAAATGCGTTGTTTGTTTAGGTGGGTTTTTATGTTTCCGTCCACGTGTTGTAAATTAGGAGTAATTTTATGTTTTTTTGTTTTTCAATTTTTGTTTGTTGTTTTTATTGCTTTACGTTTATTACTGATAATTTTTAGTTCCGTCGATTAGAACAAACGTAATTTATATAATTACAGAAAAGTACAAATTACGTCGCACAGTCGTACTTGGGTTTGCTGTGAGTATTTTAAGTCTGCAGGTGTTTTATAATCCCGTGCGTTTCAAATTATGCGCAATTTTAAATACGTATTTTTTATAGCCACGAAATTCAATTACATATCCTAATTATTAATTAATATTGTTGTAACTACGTCGAGACAATTTTAATTTAAACACATGTTGTAGTGTGACAGAAAAAGTCATTCAGATGTTTTTGTAGTGATTATATATAACATGAGATCAACAAGAATCGTCCTTTAGTTGGCACTGGGTCTATAGATGTCTTTCTCGTTCCCATTGGAAGTAGTAGATGATGAGAAAGACAGCTTGCTCCACCAACACCAATTGAGAACGTTTTTGGTTAATCGCATCTATTAATAAAATTTAAATAATTTGGCATTTCAAATTTTTTAATCGTCATACGAATTACATGAATTTGAAAGTGTTAGTAAGTTTGCAAAAGAGTAAATTAATATACACTATTACAGTTAAAATTTACGTCCGTTTTTAATAAAACGAAAATTTGAGTTTCTGTTTAGCGAAAACTCTTACTATAAAACCAGTTGTACCAATTAGACTTAATTTTTATTGCGGAACAAAAAGGAAGTATTGGGACCAATTTAATGTTTTATGTATTTTTCTTTTTTACTTTTTGAGCGTAAGCTACTTGCCACTTTTTTCAATTAACATAATTTGGGTGTTATTCTGTATCTGTATATGTTAGAAACCGATTTTATCAGATCTGTTTGAAATTCTAAACACTGTTTTCGTTTTTACTGAAATTTACTCGTTCACTTCAGATACTACGAGACTAGAGAATTCATAAAAAGTAAGAAGCAGGTGGATGGAATATAATTACATGTGGTTAGTATTTCTTGTAATGTTAACATGCGCAACGTTCAAACGTACGGTGGAATCAATTTCTAATTTTAAATTTATTGAAATCAATGAACTCTTCGCTTAAGGTAACACAGAATTTATTTTACAACTTGTACACATTCTAATGAAAAAATTCCACTGATAAACTACATCGAGCAAAATATCAGCTTTAATAAATGTCATCGGATGCACTTGTGTGTAAAAGTATGCTAACGTAATCATTTGTCATTAGAAAGAAATTCCGTATGCTTTATTCCTAAAACTAGTAAATAAAACCGCATACCGTGCAAAAGCATTATACGAGCATGAACTTGAAAATAATTTATCAGGGAGTTATTCACTATACATTCCTTTTTGCATTCTGTTTAAATAATTGTTATTACAATAACATACAATATGTACATAAATTAATTCGGATTATTTTCCTAGTAAATTCATGTAATAAACGTTGCGATGAAAATTACGAAGTTCTTAATTTAGCACTCACTTATTCTTGTCATTTTTAGTATTATGTATTGTATTGCATTTGACGAACGGCTAATTTCATGTTTTCTAGACGTTTGAATCTCCTAAAGTAGAAAATAGTAGGCCTTTTCTTGATTTTCGAGCTCAAATTTCAGGAACTTTACATGAACATGTTTTAAGTTTCATGTTGTGAAAAGAAATCTGTACACATATTAACACTAAAAGGTAAAATGTAAGCCCGCCCACCCGCCCTATCTCAATTGTAATTATTTTTTTTTTATTCGCCGTGAACCAAAGGAGCTTAACTGCAAAATACTTATTTCTCTACAAGGAATTAAAATCATGTTTTTGAGTATCGTGTTGTTCCAAGAATACTATGTATATTAAAAAAACAAAATTAAAACCCCGCCCACCCACCCCGTCTCAATTGTGACCATCTTTTTTCTTCTTAGAAACTTAAAACACGTTTAAAATGCTAAAATTTTGTAAGGAAATATGGATTTTGCAATTAGCCTCCGCTCCTAGGTCTGCCAACGAATGAAAACTTCATTACTATTTAGATCAGATTAAGATCTTTAGCTTTAATTTTTTTTTAGTATGCATAGTATTCTTTGAATAAGATGATACTCAAAAACATGTCTTACATAGTAATTTCTAGTAGAGAAATAATAACAATTTTGCAGCAATTAAGTTCCTCTCCTTTGAATCTCGACGATTAAAAAAAAACGTCACAATTGAGACGGGTGGGTGGGCGGGGTTTTAATTTTTTTTATATGGTACATTTTTGTAATAATTAACTTAAATTCTCCACTTTTCTTGTACAACCCTTTCACATATATACGGCAAAAGTTGAACATCAACGTTACTATCAACGGCAACTTGGCAACGGAGTTTATAAATGACAATTTTCAGATCTAAAAGTAACGTCAACGGGAACTTCAACGTCTTATTTTGAGCCTCCCTCAGTTTAGCTTAGCTTTTAAATTTTACATGTATAAAATTTCTATAATAGAAATTTAGTTATTTGAATTTAGCATCAGTAAAAACCGATCTACTCGTATTTTATCTCACTTTAGCACTGCAGAATTTTGTTTTAATTTTGGACATGAAGATTGTGTTCAAATCTAAATGGTCTCTCGGTTGATGTATAAACCGTCGAAATACTTTTATATTATCCGTTTCACTGTATTTACTGTTATTAATGCGGGTTTGTTACTTAGCGCTACATTGCTAGAGATGCTCCACTTAGAACTATCATAACGATGAACTAAGAAATTGTGGCTTCGGTAATTTAAACACTTTATTAACGCAATTTCCGAGGTGACTTCTTGTCACGTTTGAAATACTTATAAATCTTCTATTTTCAAAATGTTTTACTGCAAACCACTAAACCACAAATTACTTTATTTATTACCTTACACAGTGGCTTACCTATCAAGGTGTTTTGCTTAATTAATTTTACTGGGGACGTTGTAAAATGTGGTTTAAAACGGTCTAACTAAGGTTAATTGATAATGCGTTTATTTGATATCTTTGTAAAAAAGGGCTAACTTGTGTCTACCCAGTTTGTTCACCAGTGTGCATAATAAAATACAATAATAAAATAAAAAAGATATGTCAACAGTACAAGAACACATAATACACAATGTTTATTACAAGTGAGTTCAAAATTAGATCACTTTGATGCTAGTTCTCATATTCCTTGCAGAGTGATAGTGAGAACTGATAAAATGGCTCTACTAATAAATTTTGCTGTACTGTGCTGGTATCCTGGTGTTACGTAAATAAAGGCTATTAAAATTGTTAAAAAAGAATACCAAATCAGAAGATTCTTCTAAGTATCTTCCTTTCCCAAATTTCCACTCTTTGTTTAATTTTATTTATCATAATCCATGTCTCGCACGCGTATGTTAGGGGTGGTCTCACTATGGTTTTATATATTCTTAGTTTTGTTTGCCTTGATATTTCTTTACTTTTCATAATTTTTCTTAATCCTCCTGCACAGTTTTTACTTTTAGCAATTCTCAGTTCTATTTCTTTGTCTTCTTGGCATTTGTTGGTTATCGAAACACCCAAGTACATAAACATTTCTACTTTTTCAAATTCTACTTTTATTCCTTCTTGTCTGTGTATTTGTAGGTTGTTTTTGTTTCTACTCCCACAGTTCTATATATTTTGTTTTTTCTATATTAAATTCTAAAACTATCTCTTCTGCTTGTCTCATTCGCTTTGCTGTTATCCTTTCCAATTCCTTTCTGTTTCTAGCTAGTAGGACTAAATCGTCTGCGTAGGCTAGACATTGATGGCTTCTATTGAATAGTAGACCCTTCCTGTTTATATCACTTTTCCTTATAACATTCTCTAGAACCAGATTGAATAGAGTTGTTGACATCGGATCACCTTGTCTGAGTCCTTGTTTAACATTAAAACTGTCGCTAGTTTTTACTTTTACTCTGCTTTGCATTTTTCATCTAACCATTCTTTCCTTTCTCTTGCTTTTGTATTACTCACATGTCTTTTTGTCGCTTCTGTTACTATTCGTTCTATATTGTTCCATTTGGTAAAACTTATTTTGGCAAATGACATAAACTCTGAGAAAATAGGGGGCGGGTGGTCGGGGCTAGTACTTGTTCAGATAAGACTGATTTTTGCAGACGCCATACCCTCTGAGAAAATGGGGGCGGGCGGGTGGGGCTATTACTTGTTAAGATAAGACTGATTTTGGCAAATGCCATACTCTCTGAGAAAATGGAGGGGCTAGTACTTGCAAAGGTAAAACTTATTTTGGCAAATGGCATAAACGCTGAGAAAATAGGTGGGCGGAGCTAGCACTTGCTAAGATAAGACTGATTTTGCCTCCATTAAACTTGTAACAACTTCTTAAATTTAAAGGTTTTAAATTGCATATTTACCTAGAAACTAGTTAAATTCCTAAATCTAATTGGATATTTATTTTTTAACAATTCAGTCATTAATTTTTCTGATACAACCCGTATAAGCAAATTTAAAAAATATTAATTATGTATTAAAAATAACTCACAAGTATCATCACATTTTGCACATTTAAGATATATTCAGCAATATTTTGAGGTGACGTCAC